CTCCACAGAAAGATTAGATTGAACACGTTCCCCAACACGTTTCCTCCATTTATGGAGTAAAAGGCCAAATGGGCGGGGCTTTGAGCACCACCTGTGGTCACCTGTCTGGTTCCCAGACCTTCGTCGTGTTTGCCTCCACCTGCTGTGAGGCTCCTTCAAAGAGTTCAGAATATTCTTAAACGTACCTTTTTGAAGAGTTCATCGATGGGATCCTGGACGCACCGACTGCTGAACACCTCAGCGATACTTTGGATGAAGAAGGAGCCGTACGCCGGGTGTTGGTATGCAGCCATGTCTGCAAACACAAACAGGTGTGAGCAGCTGTGTGACTGACAGCAGCGATCAGTACTGGATGCTGCAGGACTCACGAGGCGCGCTGCAATAAAGAGTGATGAAATCCTTTTCTGCGTGCAGCGGAGCAGCTTGATTTACTGATTGAGCTCTCGTCTTATCTGTGGGCACAGCCAGTCTTCCAGGTACGAGCACTGAAACACACAACACTTAGCGAAACGCCACGTTCACAGCAGCCGTCAGCAGCGCGCGAGCAGAGACTCACCTCCTCTGGACGCCTGAATGATGACGATCTTCGGTTTGTCCTTCAGCGCGGGACAGTTTCTAGAGTTTAAGCGCTCATAAATTCGGTCAACTTCCATCCTGTGATTGCCCGTTCCACAGATGGTTCCCATGCCTCCGTGGGACATGACAACAACAAACACGCTGTCTGTGAGGGGCAGCGTCGGACGTCTGCTAAACCATTTCAGAGCTTCGTCCATTTTCTGTAAGAGCAAAAAGTCAGACGTCAGTCGTCGGGTCGCTGTGGAAAAGCAGCGCAAGCCTCAGTGAAGGAAAGTTACCTGTGCAGGTAGGTTCCGATGTCTGTCCACCTCGTATCCCAGAGTGTGGAGCAGGTTGACCACGGCCTGCTCATCTTTGTCAGCCCCGTGTCTGGTTAATGCCGGATCGTAGAAATGCATGTTGTTGATCAGCAGGGCGACACGCTTTGTCCGTCGGGGCATATTCGTAGCCTGGATGTTTCTGGTCATGTTGTCG